CTCCTTCTGCTGCTTTGACATCCTTTTTTTGTTTTAATTGAGACAGAGTCTCTGTTGCCCAGCTAGGTAAGCCCATGCGTCAGCCTAGCTCACCAGCACCTCAAACTCCTGTCAATCAATCCCTAACGCCTTCAGCGTCGCCGAATCCACCTACAGCAATGCGCCACAATGCCCGGCCCTAATTTTTTCTATATAGTATTAGTGTGCAATTATTTCTTTCTATTATAGTAAACGGGGTCTACTCTTCTAGGCTTGGTTTTCGAACCCCCTGACCCCCTTGACATATCCTCCTGCCCTTCAAGCCTCCCGAGTAGCTGGGACTATACATGCCCCAACATTGCCCCGCAATTTTCTATTATATATACTTCCATGCCGCCAAATAATTTCTTCCTATTTATTAGTAGGGAGATCTGTCTCGCTCTAGCTGTTCCAAAAACCTCTAACCTCCCAAGCAATTCCCCCTGCCTCAGCCTCCCCGAGATCTGACTATAGGCCTGCGCCCCATGCACAGCTAATTTTTTCTATAAATATAGTTGGCCAATAATTTCTTCTATTTATATAGAGACCGGGTCTCGCTCTGCTTACGGCTGTTTCAAACCCTACCTCCAGCAATCCACCTGCCCTTGCCTCCAGATTGCTGCTAAGATTACAGGCGGGCGCCACTGCCCCGGCCTTTGGCTGTGCATCCTTGACTGAAAATAAATAAATAAAAAAAAATATCCTGTTTAATTAATATTATTTATTTATTTTTTGAGACAGAAGTCTCGCCTTATGTTGCCCGGCTAGAGTGAGTTGCCCGGGGCATCACCCCAGCTCACAGCAACTCCAAACTCCTGGGCTCAAGCGACTCCCCCTGCCTTACCCGCTCCCGAATACTGGTGGGACTACAGGCATGCGCCAACCATGGCCCGGCTAATTTTTCTATATATGTATATTTTCATTTAGCCAATTAGTTTTCTTTCTATTTTTAGTAGAGACGGGGTCTTGCTCTTGCTCAGGCTGGTTTGGAACTCCTGACCTTAAGCAATCCACCCACCTTGGCCTCCAGAGTGCTAGGATTACAGGCGTGAGCCACCGCCCGGCCTGGTTTAATTTCAAATATAGTAAATATTGATATAACCCACATAAAGAAAAGCTCTTTGGTGTCTTCAGTAATTTTTAAGAGTGTAAAGACATCTTGAGATCAAAGGTTTTGAAAACTGCTGCTTTCACTGCCTGTGTCTCCCCCACCCCACCTCCCCCCTTCCTCATCTGGTCTCACTTCTCCAGGGACACTTGGCCCCAACTTCCCAGATGTGACCCTCCCTCTGCCCCATCTCTTCAACTCTAGTCTTCCAGACTACCACAGTCCCTGGACCCCAAATCCCATCCACACCTTCCTTCCTAGTCTTTCTGATGTCTCCCCAGTGGAGCACATCCTGCCCTCCAGCCTCACCCATGACTAGTTCTTTCCTACAAGGCAGTAAAGCTGGCAGGGATGATTACAGGGTAGGAATGTTGAGGCTGGAGGGGGATCAAAGGGGTCTGAAGCTGGGTGGGGTCCGGCTCACGGAGCTGGGCTTTGTGGGAGCATTGATATGTGGGCGGGTAGGTGGGGTGTTGTTGATTCCACCCTCAAACAGGTCTAGGCCAGGGCTGGTTAGGAGGATGACCTTGAGAGACATAAACACACTGAGGGGGAAAGACAGAGGAAACAAAGAGGGGGAGAACAGCTGGAGACAAAGGGAGGGAGAGGAGGAGCGGGAGGGTACAGACACAACCCAGGAATGGGAGACAAGGGAAGTTACAGAGACAAACACACAGAGAGCAGAGGAGACCCTCAAGGCGGGGCAGGCTCATTCCAGGGGGAGGGAGGGTGTGAACGCCCCAGGGCACAGGAGTGGAGGGCCCAGTAGGGTAGGCTGCTTGTTGCTTCAGGCTGGTGAATCTGGATCAGGTTCTGCCGCCCTCCCCAGATTCGCTCCCTAGGTGTGTTGTTTACTGGTCCCTCCCTTTCTCTCCAACTCTGGAGATGCAGATCACCTTCTCCCAGACTCCTGAGACCGGTCCAGCCATGGGCACCTCCAGCATCTTGCTCTGCATCCTGCTCCTCCTTGGAGCATTAGGTAAGGGTGGGCAGGGGAACCCTGGGGGGGCGGCAGGGGCTTAGGGCAGAATAGGGCTGGAGGGGAGAGGGGGCTGGAAGAGGCCAAGAAGAGAGCTGGGGGGCCTTCAGGAGACCAGCCACCAGGAATGGCCTCAGGCCAGCCTGACAACGTGGAAGAGACAGTTTCCTTTCAAAGGCTTTTAAGAATAACTCTCTTTCTTGCTGCAGCTTTGACCTGCCTCTGTCTCCACTCACTGTCCCTTATCTCACCTTTTGTTTCTGAGCTGGGACCCTAGGTCAATGTCAATTTCTATTTTCTTATCTGTCTGTGGTGCCACCTACTTAACTTTCTCAGTTCTCCCCTCCATCTCCTGGTGGGTCTGGCTTTTTGTGTCACTCTTTAAGTCTGATTCTCTTGGCTTCTATGTGTGTATCTCAATCCCTACATCTGTCTCCCCTCCCTTCTCTGTGTCTTTCTTTCTACCCTGTCAGCCCTTCTCCCTCATTTTGTGGCTTCTCTCTTCCCACTCCGGGTGTCACCTTCCTCTGTGTCTCCCTCTCCTAGATCTGGGCTCTACCTGTCCCCTGAGGGTTTATGCCTCCCGCATCTCCCCCTCCTCCTCATCTCCCCCTGACTCAGCAGGTGTCACCACCACATCCCCTGCCCAGGGAAGGCTCCACTGTTACACCTGCATCTTTGCCAAACCCCGCTACCCTGCCCCCATGGAGTGTCAGGAGGATGAAGTCTGTGGTGTCAGTATTGGCACCTCAGGTAGGACCCTAGTCCAGTGGCCTTTCTCTGGGGGGCTCCCCACCACCATCCATCCTGCCTTTACTGTGGCCTCTGCCTCAGCATTTCTCCTTGTGCCACAGACCAGAGTGAGGTCATTGAGCGAAAGGGCTGCCTCCCAATGGGCCAGTGCCCTCTGCTGGGCCATGCCACCTACTGGTCATGAGCCTGTGTTCCCTGGCACCACTGCTGCGAGCAGGACCTGTGCAATGTCACTGGCACGCCAAGGCTCCCAGCTTCCTCATCTCCTCACCACCTTGCTCCTTCTTGCGGCCAGCTTCACCTGGAAAGGCCACCTTTTCCACTAGCCTCCTGCAGATCTGCCTCCCCCAGTGCTGGACTCCTCCACCATCACCATGGCCCTGGAAACACCTGCACGGACACTTTTGAGACATGCCCAAGAACCTGATTTTGTATGGAGACCTCAGATCCCTGGGCCCAACATCTTTGCAGACCCCGCCCCAGACCTGAATTTGATGGGCACTGCTCCAACCCCCACAGGCACCTACCCAGAGTCCAGCCTCATAAGAACACCTATTCTGTGTCTTTTCTAGATACCAGTGCTGATGCTCTCTCTGAGGCCAAGGTCCCTGGCAAGGCAGACTTTTTTTTTTGAGACAGAGTCTCACTCTGTTGCCCGGGTTAGAGTGCCATGGCGTCAGCCTAGCTCACAGCAACCTCAAAGTCCTGGGCTCAAGCAATCCTCCTGCCTCAGTCTCCCGAGTAGCTGGGACTACAGGCATGCACCACCATGCCCGGCTAATTTTTTGTATATATATTTGTTGACCAATGAATTTCTTTCTATTTTTAGGAGAGATGGGATCTTAGTAGCAAGAGCTCAGGCTGGTTTCAAACTCCTGACCTTGAGCGATCCTCCGGTCTCGGCCTCCTAGAGTGCTAGGGTTACAGGCGTGAGCCACCGCGCCCAGCTAAGGCAGGCATTTTGATGGAGCCGATTGAAGGAGCACCATGTATGGTGAGAAGGAGGGTCTTTCTAGGAAAGATTAATTTGGTAGGGTCGGGAGAAGAGTATTGTAATAAGAGGGCCATTTGGGAGTCCGGTATGCTGTAGTGTATGAGTGTGTGTGTGCTCTAAGAGTGAACTATAGCTGCTTGGTGGGTTGGGCTGGGGCTGGAACCTGAAGCACAATGTTCTCCTCATTCTCCATCTGTGTCATTTGCATCCTCCTTCCTGCCAATGGCTTAGTTTAAGCCACTGCAATGTGAACGCTTTAGGTGAGATTTCCAAGAGAGCTTTTCTCCAGTGAGGCCCAAGCTTGAACAGAGACACAAAAGGGCACCTGGTGGAGCTGTTGTGAGGGTGTGGTTAGGAGTTCAGCTCATTTCTGCCTGAAACTGGAGATGGCCAAGTTGGGAACACCAATGCCCTCCCCCACGTTGCTAGCCCAGAGTTGTCCATGTTCACAGGCATCTCAACGTGGCCCTGGCCCAATAACATGGGCCGGGGAGAATCCCTCTTGCCAGCCTGTGTAGACACTGCCTCTGCCCAGGGAGATAGGGTGTGACTCCTGGGGTGGCAGGGAGGAGGTGCCATCCTGGTGATAAGCTCCCACTGCTCCAAATGCCACAGTGGAGTGCCACAGGGAAGTGTGTGTGCCCAGGATAAGAAGGGTGCCCCGAAGTGGGAGCAGAGCACAGGCTCCTCCAGCCTGACTCAGTTTCCTCCCCTCCCATCTGAGGAAGTCTGGGGGCTGATTAAAGGTGCTTGTTCCTGCTGGACTTCTCTTCTTTGTGAGGATGAGACATGGGTGTTGGGAGTCTGGCTTAATTTGGAGACAAGCTGAGTCTTCTTTCTGTTCTCCCTATCCCTCAATCCTCCCACTTTGTGCTTCTGTTTTTCCCTATCTCTCTGCCCATCTCTTTCCTCTGACTCTGACTTGAGTATCTTCCCTTCTGTCTTCCTTAGTTTCCCCCATTTGTCCTTAGGTTCTCCTATGACTGTTTCCCCACCATTGCCCAAGTCTCTAGATTCCTGCCTCCCCATGCCCACCCTCACCCCTCCTCACCCCCACCTGTAGCCTCAGGCCCCTTAATGCCACAGTGCTGTGTGTTCATGGCCACCCCTCATCTGGCTGCTACAAGACAGGAGACCACACCGTGTTGTAGGTGACATCACAGAATAATGCTCTACCTTTCCTTCAGTCCCCCACCCCACCCCATACAGCCTGGGGTGGTGGCCAGACCATGAAGCTCTCAGTGCCCCCACTGCCAAGGTTTTCAGGGAATCCTTCGGGTGCCAGATGGCCAGGCAGACAGCAGATCACACTTCCCGGCAGGAGATGTCACTGAGATCACCTGGTCTTGTGGGCAGGTGGGCTGTGGGGTTTGTGAAGAAGACAGATTAACCTCTGTTCCCCACCTCCTCAGGAACAGGGTCCCATCCCAACCCCACCCCAGTGTCTCTTCTCCCTTTCCAGGCCTCCTAGCTGTTCGTCACCTGAGACGGGCCAAATGGATGTTCTCATAGACCTGGATTTCGGGCTTGAACTGAGGAATTGAGGCATCTGAGGAGAAGGAGCCATAAGGGACACAGAAGAGGAGTCACCAAACAGCACAGAGCCATATTCCTCTCCACCCCTCCCTTGGAGAAGACAGGGTATGGAGGCAAGATGGGAGCCCAGCTCTTTGCCTCACACCCACGTGCCGCTTCTCCCCTCTGGGAGGGAGGGCCTCACCTCGGCCTGGAGCCCCCCGGGCCCTCTGACTCCAGAGCACGATGGTGAGGGCCAGGATGGCGACCCCCTGGCCCACTGTGAGCAGCAGCAGCAGGATCCAAGGCACGTCCCAGCCCGTGGCGGGGGCACAGAGGGCAGGAGAAGCTGCAGTAAGGGCGACACCAGAGGGATAGGGAGAGAGGCAGCGAAGGGGCCTGTCTGTCCCCAAAAAGAGGCTTCCCCCATAGCCTGGTGGGCTCTTCCAACCGGAGACTTAACGAGCTTCCCTGCTCCCAATACCCACCCCCCACTTGGCCACTTTCCAGGCCTCACACCCTGACCCCATGAGCCAATGTCCATAGAAATGGCAACGCTGCCACTGCCCACACAAGCAGCTAACTCAGAGCAGCCCACCAGCCATGGCTGCGCTTTCCTCATGCCTCACTCATTCCTCCGTTCAGTCACTCTATAAGCACGTGCCAGTGCCAAGGCCACAGGAGGGGTGCGGATGTAGACGGCAACAAGGCCCAGTCACTGCCCGTTCACTGGCCTTTGCCATTGACTCCTCCCTCCTGCTTTGTAAATGGGTTATTCTACACCCAACAGCATTCTTTCTCTGTATAAAGGTATTTTTATTGTTAAACAATTATATTTGTTCTCCTCCTGCCTTCACCATCAATGGGCCATGATAACATCAGTGTATATATCCTTTCTTCAAAAGACAACTCCCACAGCAATAAATTTTTTTTTTTTAGACAGAGTGTCACTCGGTCACCTGGGCTAGAGTGCCGTGGCATCAGCCTAGCTCACAGAAACCTCAAACTCCTGGGCTCAAGTGTCCTCCTGCCTCAGCCTCCCGAGTAGCTGGGACTACAGGCATGCGCCACCATGCCCGGCTAATTTTTCCTATGTATTTTAAGTTGTCCACCTAATTTCTTTCTCTTCTCTTTCTTTCTTTCTTTCTTTCTTTCTTTCTTTCTTTCTTTCTTTCTTTCTTTCTTTCTTTCTGAGATCGGGTCTTGCTCAGGCTGGTCTCAAACTCCTGAGCTCAAATGATCCACCCGCCTTGGCCTCCAAGAGTTCTAGCATTACAGGCATAAGCCACCGTGCCCGATCAATAATTCTTATTTTCTTCCTCTCTGCTATGGGATATTCCACAAGAATCATAGATTATCCTATTTCTTTTTTTTTTTTTTTTTTTGAACAGAGTCTCACTCTCGTTTGCCCCGGCTTAGGGTGAGTGCTGTGGCGTCAGCCTAGCTCACAGCAACCTCAAACTCCTGGGCTCAAGCTATCCTCCTGCCTCAGCCTCCCGAGTAGCTGGGACTACAGGCATGTACCATCATGCCTGGCTAATTTTTTCTATATATTTTTAGTTGGCCATTTAATTTCTTTCTATTTTTTGTAGAGACGAGGTCTCACTCTTGCTAAGGCTGGTCTCAAACTCCTGACCTTGAGTGATCCTCCCGCCTCAGCCTCCCTTAGTGCTAGGAATACAGGCATGAACCACTGCACCTGGCCAATTATCCTATTTCTAAACGATGGTATATTCCACAAGAATATACCCCTTGGCTACTGGTCTAGTCTACCAGAAAGCTGGCTTAGCCAACCCCTTTCTCTGTTTTGAACTTGATCAATGAGAAAAAAGTCTTCTTTCTATAGGAAATGGTCTGCTCCACCAAAAGTCATCCCCAACCTGGCCAAATCTGCCTCCTATCTCACCTGCTCTCCTAGCTAGCAGGTGAGGGATGCGCTGCAGGCAACATCCCTTCCCATCTCCTCCCTCAGTTTACCTGGCAGGCTAAAGCTGACCCCTTTGTTGTGAGGCATGAGGCAGCGGATGGTTCTTGGTCTGTGGCCCCTGGGCTCAGGAAGCCCCTCCCCAGGACACACCAAGAGCAAGGCAGCCCCATCACCCCAGAAGGACTGAACACGGCCCCTCACAGGACCCCTCCCCTCCTGCCAGGTCACAGAGTCCAGGCGTCTGCTGGGGACCACAGAGCACAGGAGGACAGAGCAGGGGGATCCGTCTGCAGCCCTTGCAGATAACTGGGATCCTGTGGGAAGAGAGGGACCCCTCAGTTCTCTGCCTGGACTTCCCAGGCCCCAGTGGCTGCCCTGGTCTGCATGCCCCCACTCACCTCTGAGCACAGAGACGTCATATACCCTCCAGTTCTGGTAGTCGTGGTGCTGACCCAGCACTGCACACCAGTACCTCCCGGCATCTCCCTCCTTGGACCCCTCCAGCCACAAAGAATAGTTTCCCAGCAATTTGAGCCTGGATTCCCTTCTAGGTTTCCCAGGGTCTGGAGCTGGGCTGGCCACATGGACTTGGGCCACCAAGGTGGTGAAGGAACCTGCTACAGGGCTGTGGAACCAAGACAGGAGTTCGTCCCCATGTAGAGTGGGTGGTGACGGACATGGCAGCTCCATTGCCTCTCCCAAGGCCACATAGATGGCCCAGATGTTGTCTGTGGGATGAGGGTCATGTGAGTTAATAGGCTCCATCAGATCAGTAATCCCCCACTTGACCTTCAACCTCTGGCTTCCTCCCCTTCCAGCACTAGCCTGGCTGTTGAGCATATTTCTGAAGTGACAGCTACCAAAACAAAAAGAAGTAGAGAGAAGAGCATAATGAATAGGCTTTCCTCTCTCTCTCCCAGCCAGTGAGGAGATCTGAGAGCAAGAGGGAAAAGGCTGGAATAGTTGGCAAATGCTCGTATCTCTTCCTCTCATTTCTCCTTTTCTGGAAGCATTTACTCATCTGGTCTTACTTTCTAAAGGAAATTGTGCATGACCTGGACCCTCATTGCCTCCGGGTCTTCCCCAGTATCCAAGGTAGGGGGGGGTCAGCTGTGGTCAATCTATCTTCTTGAGTCAGATGCCTTCCCCGGGCCTCTAGGAGAAAGAACAGCAGTCCCTCCCCAACCTAGCCAATAGCTGAAGAATCCCCCAACTCTTGCTCCTTACCTGCAGCAGCCTGGGGGGTTCCACATAGGAACAACAGAAGGAGGAATAAGACTGCCATGGGGAGAGCCTGAGTTCTATTGCTCCAAGACCTGGTGCTCCCCAGGGAGGAAACAGAGCCCAGATAAAGGCCACACTCCCTGGTTTAGAGTGACATGGGCCTCTGGAGGGCATGGGACTGCTGGAGAGACAAAGCCCAGCTGCATGTCTACTGGGAGAAAAGTGACCATCACTTTTCTGTCCTGGGGGGAAAAGAGCCAGTTAAGACACTCTGAAGATGACCTCCTCACTCCTCTGACTCCACGTCAGCTGAGGGACTCAGATCAAAGATTTTCCATGGGCTGGGCACAGTGGCTCACGCCTGTAATCCTAGCACTCTGGGAGGCCGAGGCAGGTGGATTGTTCGAGGTCAGGAGTTCAAAACCAGCCTGAGCAAGAGCGAGACCCTGTCTCTACCATAAATAGAAAAAAATTCAGTGGCCAACTGCTATATATAGAAAATATTAGCCGGGCATGGTGGCGCATGCCTGTAGTCCCAGCTACTCAGGAGGCTGAGGCAGTAGGATTGCTTGAGCCCAGGAGTTGGAGGTTGCTGTGAGCTAGGCTGATGCCATGGCACTCACTCTAGCCTGGACAACAAAGTGAGACTTTGTCTCAAAAAAAAAAAAAAAAAAAAAAGATTTTCCATGGACCAGGCATGGTGGCTCACACCTATAATCCTAGCACTCTGGGAGGCTAAGGCAGGAGGATGGCTTCAGGTCAGGAGTTTGAGACCAGCCTGAGCAAGATAGTGAGCCCCTTATCTCTACAAATCAAATAAAAAATAGAAAATAGCTGGGCATGGTGTCACATGCCTGTAGTCCCACATACTTTGGGGGCTGAGGCAGGAGGATTGCTTGAGCCCAGGAGTTTGAAGTTGCTGTGAGCTAGGCTGATGCCAGGGCATTGTAGCCCTGGTTAGAAAATAAGACTTTGTTTCAAAAATAAATAAATAAATAAATAAAAATAATTCAAAAGATTTTCCATGCTTCCCCTTCTCATTTCTGCACTTCAGTAGTCTAAAAAAAGATTTTCCATGCTAAAATGCCTGTGTAGAAGGGGTCTCGGCTGTCTGCCTCCTGTCAGTCTGGAAGTACATACATTCTGAGGTCTTTCAGTCCTAAGAGATGTCAGTCATGAACAAAGGAACTGAATGTTTGTGTTTCTCTCCATGGAACCCAGTGCAAGACTGTGTATCCAGTTAGTGCTCCAAAAATGATTTGGAATGACTTTCCTTGTGGTTGCCTGGCATACCACACACCTCTCCTGAATCCCTGATGAGTTTTTTTGTTTTTGTTTTTTGTGGTTTTTTTTGAGACAGAGTCTCGCTTTGTTGCCCAGGCTAGAGTGAGTGCCATGGCGTCAGCCTAGCTCTCAGCAACCTCGAACTCCTAGGCTCAAGTAATCCTCCTGCCTCAGCCTCCCGAGTAGCTGGGACTACAGACATGCGCCACCATGCCCGGCTAATTTTTTTCTCTCTATATATATTAGTTGTCCAATTAATTTCTTTCTATTTATGGTAGAGACAAGGTCTCGCTCTTGCTCAGGCTGGTTTCGAACTTCTGACCTCGAGCAATCTGCCTGCCTCAGCCTCCCAGAGTGCTAGGATTACAGGCGTGAGCCACTGCGCCCGCCTCCTGATGAGTTTTTAATTTATTACTCAAGGAGAAGGAATTCACCGATTCTTCCCTATGAATGGTGGAACTCTTAAGGTAGATCTTCATATAGTTCTCATAGCTTTTAATTTTTTAAAAATTTTTTTCCCCTAGCTTTAGGGAACCTAAGTGTTTTTTTTTTTTTAAACCTATTTGGGGGGAAAGTTCTCATGGTTTTTATTTTATTTCATTTTTTATTTTTTAAATATTTTTTTACTTTTTTTTTTTCAAACAAATCCACATGGAGAAATTCTCATGGTTTTTAATGTGTTATTTATTTATAAAATTATTTTTGAGGAAATATTCCATACATGCCAAAAACTATATCTGATGTAAAACTGTATAATGGATAAATAAAATGTGGGAAAGTCACACAATGGAACACTGGACAGTGATGAGAATGGATAAACCCAGTGATTTGCAACAAGTTTGAATCTCACAAACAGAGTAAAAGCAACCAGACATGAAGGAGATGGATTGTATGATTCCATGTCTATAAGGTACAAAAATAGGTAAAACCAATGTATAGGATGAGCAATTAGGACAGTGGTTACCCTGGGGGACCGAGTAGCGACTGGGAGGAATGTCGAGTGCTTTTCTAGATGCAGCAATTATCTCTAGATCTGGTGCTGATTACATGGGTATATTCAACTGGTACACTTTCTGGATATGTGTTTACTCAAATAAAAAGCTATAGTTTATACATTTTGTAGGTGTAAGGTGCAAAGAAAAATAAAACAAACCTGTAGTATAGATTAAGAATTAGAATATTCCTATTTTAGTCAAAGATCCTCTATGCTGTAACTACTATTCTGATTTTGCTCTTTCTCTTTCACTTTATCATTAAATTTTACGTGTTTTTCACTTTGTTGCCCAGGCTAGAGTGAGTGCCGTGGCGTCAGCCTAGCTCACAGCAACCTCAAACTCCTGGGCTCGAGTGATCCTCCTGCCTCAGCCTCCTGAGTAGCTGGGAATACAGGCATGTGCCACCATGCCTGGCTCATTTTTTCTATATATTTTTAGTTGGCCAATTAATTTCTTTCTATTTTATAGTAGAGACGGGGTCTTGCTCTTGCTCAGGCTGGTTTTGAACTCCTGACCTTGAGCAATCCGCCCGCCTCGGCGTCCCAAGAGCTAGGATTACAGGCGTGAGCCACAGCGCCCGGCCAAATTTTACGTGTTTTTGAATTAATACAATGGTATCATGTTATACGTATTCTTCAGTGGTTTTCTTTTTTTACTCAACATGATGGTTTTGAGATTCGTTTATGCTTAAGAGTGATAATTCATTCATTTTCTTTTTACAAGTATGCTGCATATCTTAATATGCTGGGTTGAGTTTCCTATCCATGACCATTGCGTAGCTCTGTTTACTCAAGCTTTAGCTTAGATCTTGCAATAACTTTTTCTAGCTTTATTTATTTTTGAGACAGAGTCTCCCTTTATTGTCCAGGCTAGAGTGTCCTGGCGCCAGCCTACCTCACAGCAACCTCAAACTCCTTGCCTTAAGCAATCCTGCTGCCTCAGCCTTCCGAGTAGCTGGGAATACAGGCATGTGCCACCATGCCTGGCTCATTTTTTCTATATATTTTTAGTTGGCCAATTAATTTCTTTCTATTTATGGTAGAGACAGGGTCTCGCTCTTGCTCAGGCTGGTCTTAAACTCCTGACCTTGAGCAATCTTTCTGCCTCGGCCTCCCAAAATTCTAGGGTTACAGGTGTGAGCCACCACACCCAGCCATTATTTTTTGAGACAGAGTGTCACTCTGTCACCTGGGCTACAGTCCCGTGGCGTCAGCCTAGCTCACAGCAACCTCAAAACTCCTGGGCTCAAGCAATCCTCCTGCCTCAGCCTCCCGAGTAGCTGGGACTACAGGCATGCGCCACCATGCCCCGCTAATTTTTTCTCTATATATTTTTAGTCGTCCAGCTAATTTCTTTCTATTTTTTAGTAGTGATGGGGTCTCGCCCTTGCTCAGGCTGGTCTCAAACTCCTGAGCTCAAACGATCCGCCACCCTTGGCTTCCCAGAGTGCTAGGATTACAGGTGTGAGCCCTGGCACGTGGCCACTTTTTCTAGCTTTCTTTATAAAATCTTGCATTTCTTGTGTTAGATATAATCCTACCTACACCTTATCTTTTTTGTTGCTTTTGTCAAGTGCTCCTAATCTTACCCCTTCTTTGCACAGTCGCTCGAGAGTCTGCCGATATTAAGGGATGAAAAATGATTGAACTGATAATTTTCTTAACTCTGCGTTCCAAACGCCTCCAATTAATTTCAGACCATTCCGGTACCCGTAGGCCCGACAGCGCGAAACCCTTTGCAAGACACCCTGAAAAAGCTTCCGACTCGCGGGAGGCGGGTTCGGGACGTGCTGACGTCAGGGCACGCAACACGTCAGAGACCGGGAGGGCGGGGCCAGTGGGGGACCGGCTGCTGGGAGAGCCGCGGCCCGAGCCGGGGCCATGGCGAAGCTGCTGAGCTGCGTCCTAGGCCCCCGGCTCTACAAAATCTACCGGGAGAGGGACTCTGAAAGAGCCCCGTCCGGCGTCCCTGAGACTCCAGCCTCAGTCACTAGCCCCCCTTCCAGCTCCTGGGTGAGTCGAGTTTCCCCCTGATCAAGAAGATGGTACAGTCGATGGCCTTTGCTCCCCAGAAGTGCCCATTATTGGAAATGAGAGGATGGTCGTCAAGGCAGTTGTCCGCAAAGTCTGCGCTCTTTGTACTTCGTGTGGTAAAGTCACGCCTATGCACTGGCCGCCTCCTTTCTTTATCGCTGTTTGAGCACCGCTTTCTCCCTCTGATTACCACTCCTTGCCTTTTCTCTCCACATCCCCCACCCTGTCTGTCGTGGTTCATGCCGATTCCAATTGAGTCTTTTTTTTTTCACATAGCATGATTTTTACATTTAATATATATATATTTATTTATTTATTTCAGCATATTATGGAGGTACAAACGTTAAGGTTACGTATATTGCCCAGGCCTCCCCTCTCAATTGAGTCTTAAGTCCTGGAAAAGACCCTGCGCGGATTGGGGAGTTGGCAGATTTTGCCATCAAACTCCCAATTTCTTCCTCGGTGCCTCCCTTGCTCTGTTTTTTTTTTAAATCTTCCCTTTACCCTGGCCTTGAATTTCAGAATGACTTCTACAAATCATGTAATGGCCCTCCCCTTACCCTCTCCCCTCAAACTAGCCTGGAAACCCCAGGGTCATTATATTCATGAAAGCTGGCGGTGGTGGTAGTCTGTTCTTCTAAATATTATTTTCCTTTTTATGGGTGGTCTCAAATTATGCTTACTATCCTTTGCGAACTGCCCACTCCTAGCCACATTCTCTTCCTTAGTCAACCAACTACTCTTATTTCCCTCTTAGAATTGTCATGGTGTTTTTCCTTTCTTCTCTAACCCTTTTCCCCATATGCACCCTCCCACAATCCATGTGAAACTGGGTAGTGGAAAAGGATCAAAAGTTGTCCAATGCTGCTTTCACTTTTGCTTTCAAATCCAGTTCCCTGTGTTTGTTCTCATGGTCAGGGTGGGAAATTATGGTGAGGGTGAGGAAGAGGGGCTTCTGTGGGGGTAGGGATGTCCCAGGGAGGCTAGAACCAAGGGACACACATCATATCTTCTGAAAGGGAAGATGGGGGGGGATCCTGTCCCTGTGCAGGGTCCTTAATGAGGCCATCTGTTTTGGCAGGATACGTACTATCAGCCCCGTGCCCTGGAGAAACATGCTGACAGCATCCTGGCACTGGTATGTCTACCTTGGCATCTGAGACTCACTGCATCTATTCAGAACCAGCTTCCCTCTTGAACTTACTCCTTCCTACCCTGAGCAGGCAGTGCCTCTGTGGGTGGGGGATTCTCTGGGTTCTGCAGCAGTCCTCTCCAACACATACACACACACAGACATGCTCTCAAGTATGCATACTTGGCACTCCTGTTTGGTGTGTAGCATTTTCTCTTGGGTAGCCTGAACCATGAGGAAAACATGTTTACTCTTGGGACCATCTGCAGGTGCTAAGTCCTATAGTCCCCAGTGACCTGTCCTCCCTGGAAACTAACCTCTTTGGCTGCAGAGACAGCTGTTTTCTCTGGCAGGGTTCCTATGGTGTCGTTTGCGCATCTCTTGGGGACCAGCCCAGGGGCTGTCTGAGCAGGGCCTATTGAAAAGGCTTGATTAACTTGAGTAGACAGAGACAACTGGCCTTTAAATGTGATAGACTTATGTCTGGAAATGGTTAGAGGAAGAGAATAGAACCTGTACCTAGTTTCCCCAGCTTCTGTTATACTCTCACACACTATTTTTCAACAAATATTGAGCACCTACTGTATGCATGATGTCATACACAAAATAGATACTCAATATGATATCCCTCAGGTTATCCACCTTGCTCAGAGCCTAGGCCTGGAAATGGCAGAGCAGTGTGCATGCACACGCGCGTGTATGTGTGTGTATTGATGGCTGTCCCTGTCTCTCTGCTGCAGGCTTCGGTCTTCTGGTCCATCTCTTATTACTCCTCTCCCTTCGCCTTCTTCTACTTGTACAGGAAAGGTCAGTGTGGTTTCAAAGGTGGTGGGGCAGGAAATGGGCAGGTTGTTGGCAGATGAGCCAGCTCCCTAAAGAGGAAAGGGGACCTGTGAGGATGGCTCCGCTTCCCTCTTCCATCAGGCATTTTCTTCCTCTTAAGGTGTGGCTATTCCAAAGAGAGGGTGTGGGGTGGAGGTCTGGGCTGAACTGGGAAGAGCTATGGGGCATCACGGAGAGCATCTCATGTCATCCCTCTCCCTTCCCAGGTTACCTGAGTTTGTCCAAAGTGGTGCCGTTTTCTCACTATGCTGGGACATTGCTGCTTGTACTGGCAGGTGTGGCCTGCCTCCGAGGTAGGTGGAAAGGGAGACTGATTTGAGTCTATCCGTCACTGTCACTGAGTAAATATTAAGTACCTTATGCAAATATATTAATTTGGGTCTGGGCCCTGAGGGAAATAATTAAAAATGGTCTAAGACATGATCTTTTCCTTAAAAGGTTTGGATCATAGGCCGGGTGTGGTGGCTCACACCTGTAATTCTAGCACTCTGGGAGGCTGAGGCGAGTGGATTCCTCGAGGTCAGGAATTCGAAACCAGCCTGAGCAAGAGCGAGACCCCGTCTCTACTATAAATAGAAACAAATTAATTGGCTAACTAATATACATAGAAAAAATTAGCCGGGCATGGTGGCGCATGCCTGTAGTCCCAGCTACTTGGGAAGGCCTGAAAAAAGGCAGTAGGATTGCTTGAGCCCAGGAGTTTAAGGTTGCTGTGAGCTAGGCTGATGCCATGGGACTCACTCTAGCCTGGGCAACAAAGTGAGACTCTGTCTCAAAAAAAAAATAAAAAGGTTTGGATCATAATTATGAAAAAATAATTAACAAAAAGGTTTGCTATTATCTAGAAAAGATGCATATAAGTTGTAACAATTCCACTCCTATATATATATATATATTATATATATATACACACGCACACACAAGAGAAAAATTCTTGCACATGTATAAACAATATATATGTACAAGAATATTATAATACTACAATATTATAATAATAATCCCAAACTGGAAACAACTCCAATGGCCATGAATTATAGGGTCGATAAATATGTTATGTGTTATAGTCATACAACAGAACACTGTACAGCAATGCAAATGAACAAATTATGATTACACTCACCAGTGTAGCTGAATCTCACAAATATAGTGTTAAAGGGAAGAAGTTGACCACAAGATGATTTCTGCAGTTTATTTCACTTTACATAAAGTTTAAAAGGGGGCCAGGCGAGGTAGCTCATGCCTGTAATCCTAGCATTCTGGGAGGCTGAGGTGGGCAGATTGCTTGGGGTCAGGAGTTCAAAACCAGCCTGAGCAAGACCCCATCTCTACTAAAAATAGGAAGATATTAATTGACCAACTAAAAATATATATAGAAAAAATTAGCCGGGCATGGTGGCGCATGCCTGTAGTCCCAGCTACTCGGGAGGCGAGGCAGTAGGATCACTTGAGCCCAGGAAGTTTGAGGTTTCTGTGAGCTAGGCTGATGCCACGGCACTCACTCTAGCCTGGGCAACAAAGTGAGACTCTTGTCTCAAAAAAAAACGTTTAAAAGGGATGTATATGTATGAGGTAAACACTGAAAAAACAGGGGCATGGTTATCTTAAAAGTCACAGAGTGAGGCTGGGCACAGTGGCTCACACCTTTAATCCTAGCACTCTGGGAAGCTGAGTCAGGCGGATTGCTCAAGGTCAGGAGTTTGAAACCAGCCTGAGCAAGAGCAAGACCCATCCTCACTATAAATAGAAAGAATTAATTGGCCAACTAATATATATAGAAAAATTACCAGACATGGTGGCACTTGCCTGTAGTCCCAGCTACTCGGGAGGCTGCGGCAGCAGGATTGCTTGAGCCCAGGAGTTTGAGGTTGCTGTGAGCTAGGCTGACGCCACGGCACTCACTCTAGCCTGGGCAACAAAGCAAGACTCTGTCTCAAAAAAAAAAAAGTCAGAGAGTGATTACCTGGGGTGGGGGAGTATGGCATGGGGAGACTCCTGGTGGGAAATGGCCTTGTTCTCTTCTTGACCTGTGATAGTCACATAAATGTTTGCTTTGTATTTTTAACTGAGTGTATGTTTTTATGTATATCTCACAATTTGAAAAAATAGAGGGACAACAAATCATTGACCTGTGGTAGGTGCATATGATGACAACCAAGTGAGGGGATTGCTTAGAGAGGACGCGATGGAATTGGAGCTGGATGGTGGCTGAATGGCACAGTTGGGCCATTTGGATGTGGGCCTCCTGTCTGAGGTGCTCTTCCCTTGTTCTCTGCGGGGCTGGGCTCCATTCTCAGAGAAGGCCTCCCTGACTACCCATCCAATGTAGCTCCCATTACTCAGTTTTTGTCTTAATTTTTTTTTTTTTAATTTAGAAAAAAATATATAAAAGAGAAGGGGGGGGAGGCAACACACATAACCTAAACATTTTACCCCCATGATATGCTAAAATAAATAAATAAATGAGAATAAATTATCAAAAAGAACTAAAATGCTTATGTTTTATGATATTTGCTCCAATGTTTTTTTTTCTTTTTTGAGACAGAACCCGTCTGTTGCCTGGGCTAGAGTGCTGTGGCGTCAGCCTAGCTCACAACAACTTCAACTCTGGGCTCAAGTGATCCTCCTGCCTCAGCCTCCCCAAGTAGCTAGGACTACAGGCATGCCACCATGCTCGGCTAATTTTTTCTATATATTTTTAGTTGGCCAATTAATTTCTTTCTTTTTTTTTTTTTAACAATTTTATTTATTTATTTTTGAGACAGAGTCTCACTTTGTTGCCCAGGCTAGAGTGAGTGCTGTGGCATCAGCCCAGATCACAGCAACCTCAAACTCCTGGGCTCAAGTGATGCTACTGCCTCAGCCTCCCGAGTAGCTGGGACTACAGGCATGCGCCGCCATGCCTGGCTAATTTTTTGTATATATGTTATTAGTTGATCAATTAATTTCTTTCTATTTTTAGTAGAGATGGAGTCTCGCTCTTGCTCAAGCTGGTTTCGAACTCCTGACCTTCAGCAATCTGTCTGCCTCAGCCTCCCAGAGTGCTAGGATTACAGGCGTGAGCCACCGCACCCGGCCCTTCCAATTTTTTTTTATCAATAAAATACTAAAGTATTACAGATAGAGTCTGAGTTTCCATTAGAATCCTCCCAGTCCCATTTTTCTCTTTCCCCAGAAGTAACTGTTGTCATCTGGTGTTTTTTTTTTTCCTGGTCCATATTTTTAGACTTTTATGAAATATATATCTCATTTCACCAAATCTAAGCTGCCATCAATTATAAAACACAGGCTGGGGCCAGGCGTGGTGGCTCACACCTGTAATCCTGGCACTCTGGGAGGCGAAGTAGGAGGATCACTCAAGGTCAGGAATTGGAAACAAGCCTGAGCAAGAGTGAGACCCCCCTCTCTACTAAAAATAGAAAGAAATTAATTGGCTAATTAAAAATATATAGAAAAAATGAGCCGGGCATGGCAGCTCATGCCTGTAGTCCCAGCTACTCAGAAGGCTGAGGCAGAAGGATTGGTTGAGCCCAGGAGTTTGAGGTTGCTGTGAGCTAGGCTGATGCCATGGCACTCTAGCCTGGGCAAAGAGTGAGACTCTGTCTCAAAAAAAAAAATTATAAAATGCTGGCTAATTTCAGAGTTTTCAAGTGTTTAAAAAATATGCATCTTAGAATCTGTAGAATGTAGTAAGTATCTATAAATAATATATAGTATTATTTTGTGCATTTTACATTTTTGGTATAAATGGCATTGCTCCATACAAAGCATTCCACTGCTTGCTTCATTCATTATCGTATCCTTTTGAAGGACTGCCCTTGAAACATAGAGTTTTAGTTCATTCTGGTTTTATTTTCTTTGTAGCATTTATCCCTATCTGAAAATTTCTTGTTTACTTGTTTATTGTCTTCTCCCAGCTCCACCTTACCCCCAACCAGAATGCCAGCTCTCTGAGGCCAGAGCTGTATGTCTCATTTCCTGCTGAGTCTCCCGCATGTAGAATGGTGCCTGGCACATGAGACCTGCCAGGTGAATGGGAGGAGAAGTTAGGGTGTGAGCAGTAAAGAGAGAGTGGATACAGTCGCTGAGGGAGGGCAAGTGAAGCGAGAAAAGAGTCATCATTGAGAATTGCTCCTATTTGAAAGAGGCCAGGAGAAAGGAGGCAGGAGAGCAGCAGTTGAGGAGTTGAAAGGAGGCAGGGATGGGTCCAGGAAGCAGAGGAAGAATTCGTCTCGAGTGGGAAGAGTGGGGAAGTTGAAGAGAATGAGGACGGAGGCAAGGTAGTTGGATTCAGTGAGGGAGTAATTATGGGCAAGAGCAAGAGACTGTGAAGCCAGGTGGCAAGGGCTTAGGGACAGGGAATAGACAGAAGAGAGACAGAAAGCAAGCATCAGAGAAGAGTGGTGGTGAGAAGTAGATAAATCCAGTGTTCCCAAGGGGAGATAGTAAGGTTGTGTAACGATGTTTGAAGACTGAGGAATGAATGTTCTGGAAAATGGAAGATTTGATGGTCTATGAAGAAACAAACTGAAGAAGCGAGGGCAGGGAATCCTGTGGCCAGTCACTAGATGTGGATAAAGGGGGTTGGCTCAGATCTATTTCCCCGCATCTTATGCCCTCCGTTCCTTTTTTTCTCACTTCACTGCTCCTTCCAGGGCCTTCTTCTAACCCATCTCCAGTTCTTTTCCTAAAACCTAGGCATCCTGCTTCCCAGTTTTCCTAACACTGTTTCTCATCCTCCCTCTACTAGGCATCGGCCGCTGGACCAACCCCCAGTACCGGCAGTTTATCACAATCTTGGAAGCCACACATCGGAACCAGTCTTCAGAAAACAAGGTGAGAGGTTCCAGGAAAGGTGCCAGATAGGTGCCCACTAGGAGCTTCCTCAGCTACACTCCTGGGAGCACCAGGCGCTGGCTCTGCCTGGAGGAGGAGGTCTGTTTGCCCCTCGCCACACTGGTTTTGGCTTGCACGTTGCTATATCCCTCTCCCCTCATAACTGTCCATCTAGGACATTTTTCCTCCCTCCCACCCTCCACCTAATATTGGCTAAATTTAGAAACATTCCACAGTGTTTCTCTATCACAGCAGCTCAGTTCTGTAAATGTTTATTTTTGTTGTGTGTGTTGAACACCATGCTCGGTTTTTTGGGGGATAAGACAAGATGGACAGGCCGGGTGCAGTGGCTCATGCCTGTAATCCTAGCACTCTTGGAGGCCAAGGCGGGCAGATTGCTCTAGGTCAGGAGTTCAAAACCAGCCTGAGCAAGAACGACACCCCGTCTCTACTATAAATAGAAAGAAATTAATTGGCCAATTAATATATATAGAAAATATTAGCTGGGCATGGTGGCACATGCCTGTAGTCCCAGCTACTCGGGAGGCTGAGGCAGTAGGATTGCTTGAGCCCAGGAGTTTGAGGTTGCTGTGAGCGAGGCTGACGCCACGGCACTCACTCTAGCCTGGGCAGCAAAGCAAGACTCTGTCTCAAAAAAAATAAAAATAAAAAGACAAGATGGACAGCTATGTCCACTCCTGCACCTGGAAACAAAGCATGGTGCCAGGAGGGAGAAAAGGCAGGGCTCAGTGTCCTGGGAGTTGTGCCAGCTGGTGCTGGAGTATGATTATCTTTGAGGAGGGGCTTTGGTGCCCCATAAAGCTCTTTCGTATTATGAGGGGGTTTCTGGGATCAAACAGTTGTGACCACCATCATTGCATTACTGGTTACTCCACACCACCATTTATGGAGCTATGTAATGATGCTCTACACCACGCTGCTGCCCTGAGGCATTTTGCATATGTCCTTTCTAATCCTTGCAACAACCTTGTGGGGTGGCATTATCCTCCTTTGTACATCTGAGGAAACAGAGGCAACAAGAGGTTAAGTGACCCATGCTGAGTCACAATAAGGAAGTATCTGAGTCTGGATTTGAGTGCAGGTCTGAGCAAAGCCTGCCTGAAATTTGCTTTTTTTCATTTTGTTTTATTTTGTCATTTACCATTTGTATAATTTTTCTATTGCTCTCTCTTAGTCAAGTTAGTTTTGAAATATCAAAAAATTTCTGTAACAAAATAAAAAGCCCTCAAAATAGAGTGCTGGGAGTTCTGAGGTTAGGAGAAGGAATACAGCCAAGTATTAAGACACTGCCCTCACAAAGCATGTGGACTGACTCGGCGGGGTATCTGGAGGCACCGATGGTCTGGAGGGAAGCTGGCCCATGGCTGCAGGAGTTGACAGAAGGGAGGTGACTGTGAGGATGGGGAACAGTCAGAGTTTCATTCAAGAGGTGGCCCCAGGTGCAAAGGAGCCCACTTAGACATGGCTGCCCTCCTCTCTCTCACTCAACCTTGGATCAGACAGTTTGATCTGCTAGGGGATTTCTGAGCCTCTGAGACAGCCCCGTGTAAAGGATCCAGGTAGGGAAGAGAGCATGACCAGCCCCACCCCCTCAGGAGCACCAGCACCTCTGCCCCTGCTGGGGGTGGGTCAGTCTTAGGTTTTCAGAAGAGCAGAGTGTTGAGTTTCTAGGTTGAGTTCCTAGAAGGCAGGCAGGTCCTGATTGGTGGGGCACTCTGTCTTGCCCAACTTCCTGTTTGTGTTAGAGCTTTCCCATCTGAGAAATGGAAGCGTGTTGACTTCTGCTTAGTCTCCCCATGATGCATGGGGCCAGATCCCTGGATGAGGGTGCTGAGGGTTGGCGAGCCTCCCCTCAGTTCTCAGTTCTCCTTTGCCTCCCCCTCCTCTTTTGTTCCCTGCCCACCTCAGAGGCAGCTCTCCAACTACAACTTTGACTTCAGGAGCTGGCCAGTCGACTTCCACTGGGAGGAGCCCAGCAGCCGGTGAGGCCCCAGTTCTTTCGCTCTGTCCCTTCCTCTGGAACTGTCTTGGGTAATCCCTACCCTGCCTGCCTGCCTACGTCCCTTCTCAGGTCCCAGCTTTCTAGCGCCATTTCCTCATTCCTAGCCCCCCACTGTCCTCTGGACCTCAGATATCTAGCTCGCTGCTCCTGACCCCTTCCTCTGGTGTCTTTCCCTTCCTCAGGAAGGGGTCCCGAGGGGGCCCTTCCCGCCAGGGCGTGGCCCTGCTTCGCCCAGAGCCCCTGCACCGGGGGACAGCAGACACCCTCCTCAACCGGGTTAAGAAGCTGCCTTGTCAGATCACCAGGTGGGAAGTGGTAGGGAGGAGAGGCCAGCTGGGGTGGAGGGACATGGGCTGAGGGATCTAAGACAGGCCTCCATTGTAAAATGCCTGTCGTTTAGCGGGGCTAATGTTGCATGCTTTGTGTATGTCATTTGTGGAAAAATACTGGGTTTTTTTTTTGAGACAGTTTCATTCTTTGCCCGAGGTAGAGTGCCGTGGCATCAGCCTAGTTCATAGCAACCTCAAACTCCTGAGCTCAAGCAATCCTTCTGCCTCAGCCTCCTGAGTAGCTGGGACTACAGGCATGCGCCACCATGCCCAGCTAATTTTATATATATATATTAGTTGGCCAATTAATTTCTTTCTATTTATAGTAGAGACGGGGTCTTGCTCTTGCTCAGGAGTTTCACTTTTTGCCTAGGCTAGAGTGCCGTGGCATCAGCCTAGCTCACAGCAACCTCAAACTCCTGGTTTCAAGCGATCCTCCTGCCTCAGCCTCCCGAGTAGCTGGGACTACAGGCATGTGCCACCATGCCAGGCTCATTTTTTCTACATATTTTTAGTTGGCCAATTAATTTCTTCTATTTATGGTAAAGATGGGGTCTCACTCTTGCTCAGGCAGGTTTCGAACTCCTGACCTTGAGTGATCCGCCTGCCTCAGCCCCCCAGAGTGCTAGGATTATAGGCGTGAGCCACCGCACCCAGCTATGTATATATTTTTAGTTGGCCAATTAATTTCTTTGTGTTTTTAGTAGAGACAGGTCTCGCTCTTTTTTTTTTTTTTTTTTGAGACAGAGTCTCGCTTTGTTGCCCAGGCTAGAGTGAGTGCTGTGGCGTCAGCCTAGCTCACAGCAACACAATCTCAAACTCCTGGGCTCAAGCAATCCTGCTGCCTCAGCCTCCCAAGTAGCTGGGACTACAGGCATGTGCCACCATGCCCAGCTAATTTTTTCTATATATATTAGTTGCCCAATTAATTTCTTTCTATTTATAGTAGAGACGGGGTGTCGCTCTTGCTCAGGCTGGTTTCGAACTCCTGACCTTGAGCAATCTGCCCGCCTTGGCTCCCAGAGTGCTAGGATTACAGTTGTGGAGTCACTGCACCTGGCATTTTTTTTTTTTTTTTTTTTTGAGACAAGAGTCTCACTCTGTTGCTCCATATAGAGTGCTGTGCATCATCCACCTCACAGCAACCTCAACTCCTGGGCTCAAGCAATCTACTGCCTCAGCCTCCCAAGTAGGTGGACTACAGGCATGTGCCACCATGCCCGGCTAATTTTTTCTATGTATTTTTAGTTGGCCAATTAACTCTTTCTATTTTTAGTAGAGAGGGGATCCCATTCTTGCTCAGGCTGGTTTTGAACTCCTGACCTTGACGATCCGATTGCCTCGGCCTCCCAGAGTACTAGGATACAGGCGTGAGTCACCGCCCCAGCCTACAACCATCATTTTTTAAAGTATTATTTATAGGACTTTAAAACATTATATTATATATTAACAGAATCATATTTGGTAATAAGTTCTTTTACTTATTTATATGTAGAAAGTGTTATAAAACTCTCGGATTATATATATATGTATGTTGGGCTACAATATAAAATTATTATCTTACAAAATCTGCAGTAACAAAAATTTGAAAAATATAGCCTGGTACATTATATTTAGTTAAGTCCTGGAAGAGATGAGTGAAGCTGAGACAGCGAAGGGTGAAGCAGGCCTCAGACTCTGCCAGGATGGGGCACAATCCTGGTCCCCACTGAGGTTAGGGGTTTGTTAATCTGTGTTCCCCACAGCTACCTGGTGGCACACACCCTGGGGCGCCGGATGCTGTATCCGGGCTCTGTGACCTGCTCCAGAAGGCCCTCATGCCTGTATGTGCTGCAGGGCCAGGCCCGATTGGGTGGAAGAGGTGAGCTCCCCTGCCCCACCTGCCAGCCCTTCTCCTGCCCAGGATATGCCTCCTGCCCTCCAACCTGGCATGTACGCCTCCTCCCACTCAGTTAATGGCGCCGCGAGCAAAGCTGCTGGCCTGTGATGGCAACGAGATTGACACCATGTTTGTGACCGGCGGGGGACAGCTGAGCCCCAGGGACAAGAAGCTGGTGAGAGGGGCAAGGAGCCCAAAGTGGATTGGTGGGAAGCAGTAGAGGTTCTGGGCCCCAGTCTTATAGCATCTTCCCTACAGAACCACAGCTGGGATATCCCATCTCCCAGCTCACCCTTAAGACCTGATTAGGGAACCCCCGCCAATAGGAAATAGACAGAGAAATAGCAGTTGACATCAAGGACCAAAACATAATATCATAGTGTTACCACTTAGATGCACTTACCACATGCAAGCATACATTTAATCCTCACAACAGTCTGAGAGATAGGTACTATTTATATAGCCCATTTCACGCAGTGATGAAACTGAGGCACAGAAAACTTTCCCCAGATCACACAGTAAGTGGTAGAGCCAGCAGCCTGTTCCAAAATCTGCTCCTTGCAGCAGCCCTGGAAAGAGCACTAAGCCAGGATCTAGGAGCTGGGTTCTGATCCTAGTTCTCCCATCTGCTGTGAGAGTTTCATGCAAGTTCGACATCTGTGGCTGCCGCTTGGGCCAAGCTGGAATTAGAACTCATGTGACCATGAGACGGGCCCCAGGGAGGAAAGGGAAGCAGTCAGCGTACCACACCACCAGAAATAGTTAAAGAAAAAGCAGACCTAAAAACTATAAAGGGAAAAAAATATCCATAGTCCCATTACTCAGAGATGCCACCTGGTGGTCTTCAAGGAGAGAGTGGACACTGTGCTGCTTGGTGTTGAGCAATTCAGTCATCTCCTCCCAGGCCCAGTTTGCTGAGCATTTGCAGCCACTTTTGCCTCTCATCTTACAGACCATGTGGAATGCGAGGTTTCCATTCTCCTTGGAGAGAACAACAGGCTGCCCTTTCCCCTTGCCTGTCACAGCTTCCCAAGCTCTCCACAGGTTGTCGTCCCTGCCCAGAGGGGGTTTCAGTCCCACTTGGCCTCCTCTCAGCCTTTCTTTCTCTGCCTTCTTCCCAGGTGATCTGCTGCGAGGGAATGCAGGGTTCTATGAGGTGGGCTGTGTCTCCACACCCCTGGAAGGTAGGGACCAGCCCTCTTATCTCCACCCCTTGGAACAAAATGTCCACAGCTCCTACACTGATCTGGCCTCTCCCAGCCTCCACTTTCCCTGGGTGAGGTTTGAGTCTTTCGCCTTTGGGAAAGGTCCACTGCCCCTTTGCTTTGATCACCTTACATCCCTGCCTGCACCATGCCCGTGTTATAGGTAGACTCTCCATTCCCCTCCACACACCCCCCACACAGCCACACAGCTCTCCCTTCTGCCTCACAGCCTTTGTGTCATCCTCCCTATCTGGGAAGGGCTTGGAGTTGTTTGCCTCTGAGCTGAGGTTGAGGGGCTTCCTGCTGTTCCTTCCCCCAGGGCTAGAGAGTTCTCAGTCCCTCCTCCCCCTTATTACAGCTGGGTATTCAGTCCTGGGCTGGAATCATCCAGGCTTTGCTGGAAGCCACGGTGAGATTTCAGGAATTCCCTCCTTTCCTGATTATTTCGGTCTCTCTCCTGGGCAGGCCACTAGAGGGAGGAATAAGTATAGACAGTTTCTCTGGGACCTCCACTCACCTGTGCCTGGGCTCTGGCTGCCACCCCCTCCCTTATAGTGGGGGTTGGTGGAGGAGAGGAGGTAGATCTCATTGTACAATATCTGTCCTGCAGGAGCAACAGCGCCTTCCGCCACCCTACTTATACATCTTTTCCATGTAGGCTGCAGGAGGAGTCCCTGGGAGGGGTGGCATGTGGCAGTCAAGCAGGCTTTTGGTATGACCCAACTCCTGCCTTTGCCTCGTCCTGCAGGGGCGTTCCCGCAGAATGAGGCATTTAGGATGATGTCTATTGACTTGTGGTCATCCAAGTGCCATCCACGTCTGGCTTCCAGCCCCAGGACATTATCATCTAATGCTGTCCATCGGTGGCTTCACTGGTACTAGCTTTCCCTCCCACCGCCCCTGTAGACACATTCATTGCCTGCCCCAGCAAAGTTGGGAATTCGCTTTGGTGGCCCCAGGAGTGGGGGGTTGGCAGCTTAAGAATAGGCGAGGATAATCTCTGAGTAGGCCTAGAAGTATTCCTATTTATACTCCCTCACCTCTCCTTCTACCACGTGCACCATCATTAAATGAACACTAACCTGCTCTTGCGGTGTGGGGTCAGGGAGAGTGAATGGTCTCCTCTGCCGGTGTTCTTCAGTCCACTTCAGTGTTCTTCTCCAGCCATCCTTCCAGAGGAGCTTGGGGCCAAGTGATATGGAGGTGTAAGGAGACACCAGCGGATATACGATAGTAGGAGGATGGCTATGAGCAAAGAGTGCGAGTAGACTTCCGGATTCATAGTGAGTCCCATTCTCAAAAAAACAAACACTATATCGGCCCAGGTCAGTGGTTATGCCTGTCTATAATCCTAGGCACTGTCTGAGGCCGAGGGAAGATAGCTTGAGTCAGGAAATTCTAGACCAGCCCTGAGCAAGAGCAAGACTCATCTCTACACAATACAAAAAGTAGCCAGGGCACATTAATGTCCTTGTGTTCAGCTCCTGGCGGGGAGCTGATGGCAGATCATCCCTTGAGCCCCAAGAGGTTTGAAGTTGCAGTTGAGCTATATTGACATCCGACTGCACTCTAGCCCTGGCAACAGAGCAGACCCTCTGTCTCAGGGAAATAAAAACAAAACAAAAACCCACAGGTAGGTGGATAGGCGTTAGCCCTGTATGGTCAGTGAGATAAGGGGTAGGCGTGGGGGAGGAGCATCGTATTATTAAAGCGCTACTCTACTTCCCGCCTGGACCAGCCACATGCAGCCATGTCCTACCCAGACGTTAGTCGCTGTGATCCTGGGATGGCCCTTTGGATGACCTGGCTTCCCCTGGCCTTAGGTCATGCCGGACAGCTGAGTAAGTGTAGCTCCCAGGCCTCCTCTTCGAGGGGAAGCGGCGTGGGTTGGA